TTAGTGGTCCCTGAAGAGGAGGCATAGTGCTCAACAATAAAGGATGTGGCCGGACTTACACCGGGTACTACCCGTTGACCCTATTCAAAGCATGAGACAACTTGATTTAATATTCCCATCTGTCCATGTGTCACAAAGTTTCACTGGCGGCGCTACACGCGGCGCGATGCTTTTTTCATTCGTGCTAACCACAACAACAGTACCACCACTTCCGACTACGAGCCTTCGGACTTACTCCGTGTACCCCCTACTACGTCGGGAAAAACGTTCGTTTCAATCCCTTTACAAGAGGGACCTGCCATTGGAAGAAGAGGGATAGAGACAAAAAATCGCACGGCAGGTCAAAACCTATACATACGGCGTCTTGAGTCAGAGGAGAGACTGAGAAAATCAGAACGGTTTAAAGGCGGCGGCTGAAGCTAACAAAACAAACCACCACAACCAAAATGTTATTAGATTACTTTACTACTACTGCAGGTATGCCAGCTAGAATCGGGCAAAACGAAAGTCACCAGCTCGCAACCACCCGTAAGGGTGTCGGCGCGTGTACTGCGTTATCACGCTCGCGAGCTCTTGTCGAGAGCGTTTCTGCACAAAGGATTGACTCAAGTTCCTTGTATTAACGGGTGAGAGCCATAGGCAGGCAAGCAGAGCCTAGAGCGTCGAGTCCATCACACCCATCATATCTATCTGCGTAACCCCCGGATATCTCGGAGATTCGTCTCCTACCGAGTACACTCACAACCACCACCCTTCTGGAAAAACTGTGCCTCTTACTCTACAACCATTGCAGGAGGACAAGGTTAGGTTTTCAAACATGCATACACCTCTACAGCCGGGATGGCTTCGAGCATGCAAGGACGACCCAAATCGCGTACAGAGAGGCACGACGCTATTCTTGCGCCACCCACTAGTACAGTAGTGTTGCCTCGAGAATCGATCGGGGGGACAGAACGTAAGGCAAGCACCCCCCAACGCCTCCATAACCAACAACGCCGTCATCATCATCATCATGGCTAAAGAACGACGAACACATGCAATACCCTTGGTTCCCCCCCATCTTTTCCACGCGTGCGGGCAACAACAACAACTACAACAACTATTAATACGCAGACAGACGAGTTGGGCGATCAACACGCGAGCACCGCCCCCGAAGGATCGAAAAAAGACACAACAACAAACAAGACTATTCTACACATGCACCACCTCTCTCCACGACTACTTTCATCAACTTTATCCTCCCAACCCGAAGGGCCTGCGTCCTTCTCAGGTCATTCACCGGCACCCCCCGACCCCGCCTCAGGTCCCTCCTCTCTACAATATCCACCACCACCGCTTTCTCCCCAGATCTCCTTCAGGGAAAAGCCATACCTGTGTGCCACACGCAGAGGATTCATCTCTGACCGTCATTCTTTGTCCTGCGATTTTCCTTCCCGCAACGCCCTTAGACAGTACCGTGGGTTCGGTGACAAGCTTACGTAAGATGATGATGATGACAAACACCAACAATGACGACGACAAGTACAACACGTGCCTTTCAAACGAAAACCATCGAAAAAGAAAAAAATACAAGTACACACGCAAGAAAAACGCAGGTCCCACTTCAGAAGAAATGACCGGAGAGAGAGGAGAGCGATAGCAGTGTTCGTGTTCGGACGGTTCTCCGCTCTGTTTGGGCGTTGTGCCGCTCTATCACAACTGCTGTTAATGCCAAGACCGCTGCAACTACCTCTAATATGTGTAGTCAATAGACTATGCGACGACAACGTAAATAGGTATTGCACATGCCCTCTTTACAAAACGCTGTTTGCCACCCCCGGGTCCCCCCCAGCTGTTCTTGTAATCGGTATATCTCTCCTTGCCCTTACCCCCTCTTTGACAAAATAATCGGCACGAAAGGGTGAGCCAGAAGAGCCCCCCCCCCGCTCTCTCTCGCTTCCTCCGACCTGCCTATACTCGTCGACCAATACTAGGCAAAAAATAGCAACCACCAATGCAATGTGTTCCAAATCGTGGTAGGTAAACTTCTCTGTTCTCCGCTGTCTCTCTACTCCGCACGCAGTCTCTGCCTGAACCAGATGGGAAAACCATACAAAAACGACACAACGCCCGGATAAGAAAGGTGAGGCCACTGCCCCACGTCTTCGCACCGTTCGCTTCCCATCCGCTCGACACCTAAACACCCGACTCATCCCTCTTTTAAGGAACGTATCTTTCAAAACCCCGATACAATAATAAACCAGCGAACACATTCCGCCCCCCCCCCCCCCCAAAGGTAACCCCGGGGAGGGGGCGAAA